GTTTCTTTTGTTGGGAATTATCTGCTCTGTTTTGGAGAAGATTCTGTCAGGAGGAACTGGGTTGCTACAATGCACAGTCTCCAACCAATACCAACAGTTGCATTGGGGACGCTGACATAATGTCCCTTGCAGACATTCTACCTTTGCATGGTCAATAAAGTTTAAATGTGTCCAAATAAAACTCCTTTTGCTGCCATACCTCATGTTGTCTGTCCTTCTGTTTTTTCCCCTCCTTTGTGCATGCTAACAGACGTCAGTCCCTTCATCTCAGCGCAGTCTGAGACTAATTGACGATTATGTGCGGGCTCTTTGAAGTGAACAGCGGCGCTTGATTCTCAATTTTGCTAGTCAATGTTTATTAATGAGGCGCAAAGTCCACATTTTTATCTTAAGAGGGATCCGAAACCGCTTGTTCCGAGACTCAGATGCCAGAAAGTCCTCAGTGGCGCAGACAGATGAAGCAAATTCCCACAAAGGCGAAATGAGCCTTGCACCTGCATGAAAATCAGGATACGGCAGCATGTCTGCATGCACCATGTTCGAAAATTGAGCCTATTGGGTTACTCCTTTGATTGGTTATTGCACTCTGGTCTTCAGAGATCTTCTGTCTTGCATCACCTAAAAATTTTCAAGGTGCATTTTTTCCAAAAATATACCTCACGTAACATTCATTCCAACGACTGCATAACAAAGTTTCAGTGATCGGCTTCTCTGAAAATGAAACGGAATGGAACCCTAATTATTGTCCCACTCTCTTCTTTAGTCAAAATGACTGTTGTGATCAAAACAAGAAGAGCTCGTGTTGGCCCCAGACTGTAGTGGTAGACATTTCTTTCCTATGTCTACCAAGATATGGAGCTTATTCTATTTACACACCTGTTTTAAGTCCCAGCCAGTCATTTTCACAGGCTATTTGCACTTCAACCCAATGAAGACATTGGGTGAGGCTTTTCGAGATATTACTCATGTTTGCTGTAGTGTGAGCTGACCATCAAGCTCGACTTGACCATCTGTTACAAGTTATTTCTCCTACAAGGTCAATTAAAGAGGCACTTATCTCCATTCCAGAATCCTTCTGAAGGTGCAAGTCTACATCATTAGCTGTTGTAACATATCGGTATATTTACTTTGGGTGACGCTGTTTATTGTCTTTTCTAATGATAAAGAATAATTCTATTTTTTTTCAGCGTCTACCTATTGTGAAGTATAATGTGTTTTGAGGCCATTAAATTCGACTGAAACACGGCATTTTACTTTGAAAGAACATGACTATGTGTCAGAGATTTTCTCGGACAAAGTTAAAGAAATGACTCGGCACACAGGAAAATTGTCTTCAATATCGGCGGGAGGGGATCTCTGAGAGCGAACGACGGTAGTTGCTCCGATGATCACACTCTCTCGGCTCCCTCTCCGCCGGTTCGAACTTTTATTGCAAAATACAAGAAAGACACTGCCCCCGAGATTGGCATACCGCGCCCCCCGGTCCGGCCCCTCGGTAGTGATCTGATCTACCCGAATACACAAGTCACAGACTTTGCTGATGACAAATGTCCACCTGGGCGCGACAGCGGTTCCCAAACTGTCTTTTGGTATTCAACAACTCTTTGTTCCCAATTTGTTCATTCCCACTCTGTGATTGAATCTAGCCTTCTTCCATCTGTTCGCCCCCCTTGCTTTGACGTGATTACTCAAGAAAAGGCCCTCCGCCCAAACGGCCGACACCTCTGCGCTGAGTATGTCCAGACATGCCCAAATTAACCGAAACTTTAAACATGATACAATTTTGTTCATAGATTTCTCCATCACTATGTCATACCTTCAAAGAAATATCATGATATTTTAGTTTGCAGAAAGCTCAGCTTTGAAGAGCAACATCAGCGCCGACCCCAGGTTGACACAACATAAGAACATTTTCCAAACTGGTCCACCAAAACTGTGGACCACAAAAATCGGTGATGAGGGATTATTTTCTTTCCAGTCCATACCACCATACCATCCATATCTATACTGTAAAGGGTTACGGCAGGAGCGGAGGCCCAACCCAGCTGACTCCGGGCCAAAGCCAGACCACAACATGCACTGGATGCCACTCAATCACACAGTGACTGTGAATGGGTCATTGAGTCGAGAATCGATCCCACAGCAGTCGCATGAAAATGAACAATGTGAACCATGACACTACTATTAGCAATTTCGGCACTAAGTCAATGTAACATTTTTTTTAAGCTGATATTGTTAAAATGTCGGTTCTTGTAGCGAAAGGAGATGAGCGCAGGAAGGGCAATAAAGGGAGTATGACACACATTGAATGTGCAAAATAGCGATACTGGATAGACCATGCTACTAGGGAATATGTCATTGCTTGGCAGCGGACTCATTTCTCGCCATTTTCAAATGTAAACATGAGCTTTATTGCTGCTCCAGTCATTAAAAGTGTGACTTGATGGACAGAGACGGCAAATGAGGGTACCAATGGTTCATGTGAGCCATATAACCAAAACAATGAACTGAAAAGGGTTTATCAACACAAATGTCCCCTTCAATCCCGTCGATCATCTTAAACAAAACAATACCACCCTATGGCACCACAATGCCGAAAATGTAATTATTTTGGGCAGATATGAACTAGACTTTGCCTGAGTCGTGGACAATTTTACCAGCTGCAATTCAACTTTTATAGAAAGCCAGAACGTTTTAGTGTGACCTTGCTTTGACCAAGGTGATCTGTCATCACAGAGAGAAATGCGCAGTGAGCTCGAGACAAAGGACATTCGTGCAGTGGTAATTGGGTTGGTGTTTTTCTTTCAGCTTTTAAAGTCACCAGGAACATCTCTCTTCTTGCCTTCTCTCTCTCTCTCTCTCTCTCTCTCTCTCTCGCTCTCTCGTGCTTTCCCTCCTCTGCTTCTATCAACCCCTCTTTCCTCTGCTCCTTCTTTCAATTCCCTGCCCTCCTTCGTGTCTTTGTTCAGTGCAAAAACATATTCATCATACTCCTCTGCTGCCCTCACAGCGCCGCGCCGCAGAATACTAATGACAGTGTGTCTGTGCGTGAGAGGCTGCCAACATTTGCACAACACACAAGCATCTGTGTATTTGATTATGAATGCATGTGTGTGTCGTGCTTTGCTTGAGGCTATAAAAGCTTGATAATACACCATGCACTCATTTGCTATAAGCCTATTAACCGCATGCACAGAAAAATGCCATTGGATGCATGTCAGCCTCTCTTTTGCGTCTTAGTAGCCTTCTCTTGTCTGCATCGTTATCAGTATGTCTGCTCCGTCTTTGTCTCTCTAGTTCCTCTTTTTACTTTCTATTCTGTTTATTCTTTCCATATCCATCTTGCACTGTCACGGTGGAGGCTTAAAGCAACAGTTGAACAACTTTAGAGATAGTCACTTTATTTCTCAGGGTGAGCCAGGAAATAATTTATGTGGAGATGCAGAGTGGGAGGAGATACATCAACCACCTCTCGTTCCGAAAGTTGAGAAAAAAATACCATTCACTCTTCCCAACAATATTATCTGACACACACCCGGATGAAACGTCTAGCGTGTAACCTGCTGAGTTATCCATCGATCCAAACCATTTTTAACTAATGTGGTACAAGAATACACATTAAAACTTGGGGGAAGACTTCTGAAGTGCACTTAAGCTTCACTGTAATCAAGCATATATAGATGACATGATTATGGAAGCCACTTGCCACTCTTGTATAATTAAAAGATCCACTTTCAACATGATTACAAAAACTCAAGCCACTAAAGAGGCTACAACCTGCCAGCATTTATAATTACAGTCTTAATCATCCCGGAATTATTCAATCAGACAGACAGTTATGAAAGAATGAGAGGAATCAGTATATTTTCATTAGCATTTCATGGACTCTTTGACAAGCACTGATGTGAGTGGAGAGGGACACTGGACCCCCCCTCCCCACCCCCCGATTGGCATCATGAGTGCACAAAGAATGTGATTAGTGCAGAGTAAGTCCCTATGACACTTGTCACACACAATCAGCTCTTTTTTTTTTTTTTGTTTTGCAGGAGTTTTTTTTTTTGTTTTTTTTTTTTTTAAATGAATGAATGCACGAAATCCTAAATGCTGGAACCAGAAAAAAATTTGAAACCAGAAGTGTATTTCTGGGAGCAAACCTACACAAGCGCAGGGAGAATATCCACACTCCACACGGGCGGGCTGAGCCTTTTCTTCATCTATATAAATACAAACATGATTTTTATCCTCCCCTCTCTTTTAAAATTTGTACCAGGGTCAATTGCGGTGTCCGTGCTATGCCAATGTGAGAATTTGTCTGAAAATCAAATTTTCTGACACGAATTCACATGATACCCAATGCTATTTATTTCTTTTGCACATGCAAATGTAATAGGTTTCAGAACTAATGAAATTTGATTTGTGAAAATTCACACAGATACACTAGTCCGAACAAAAGTCTTTGGACACACCTCATGATAAATGAAAGAATAAATGAGGGTCAGCACGTTACAAATTGATTGATTGATTGATTGATTGATTGATTGATTGTCTAGCTCATGTCAAGCATGACTCTGTCCCAGGGACGGCTATGAAGGCTGGTTGGAGGAGTTTGGTGCGGAAAAATTTGAGAGCTTCAACTCCATTCAAAATCTTTGGAACAGAGATTGTGAGCCAGGCCATCTTGTTCAACATCGGAGCCCTCTGGATGAAAGGACAAAAATCCCAGAGAAAACTTGACAGCGCGCCGCCATTACTCGTAAATGTTAGCAAATTAAAATGCTGATTGCAAAGGTATGCATGATTCAACTGATGACAGGAGAAAGGAAATTAAAATTCATTGTGGATGAATGCTTTCAGTTAAACTAATTAAACAGATGTTGAGACTGATGAACAAATCAGTCCAAAGAAGAACTGGTTGTAATTGAATGAAAGACAAATGATGGCAGGCCAAGGTGACGGATAGTTCTGATAAATGGATAGACTGCAGACTGGAGGCGACTCACCTGTTGCTCGGCCTCTTCCTCATCACTGCTGATCTTGAGGTCATCCTCCAGCATTCTGCACAAAGACAAAATAACATATTTAATTGCAGCCTTGACCTCAACATCTGCTTGACTCAGATTAAATACAGCACACTGTTAGCTGCCATTCCCTTTAAAGTGCCGTCCCGGCAAATGGATTAATTGCATCGGCAAAGTAGCACTGACTTATGTTAGGGAATGAGGAAGAGAAGGGTGGATGAGGCACGGCGGTGCAGAAAAGCAACCAGATGTGGCGTTTGGGAGAGAGAAGCCAGATTGTTTTTTCACCTGGAAACATTCTGTGTTGACAAGTGCTGACCTGCTGCCAAGAATTCTTTGGTAACAAGAGGCTGTGCTAAGAGGAGCGAGCCCACTGAGTCCCGATTCACCTTGTAATCAGGAAAAGGTGCCTTTCTCCTCCATTTGCAACAACATAAATATATGTACGATTAAAAACAGCATGTACTTGTGCTCGTGTGTTCGATGACCTCCCTGGTAGCAAATTATTCTGTATTTATGTGCCGTGCATTGGAAAGTTTCCATGTTTGATTGCTTTGTATAAACCATCCACGCATGCTACTGTTATTTTAAGATAGCGCTGCTATTGTTATGACAGGAGAATCCCCTAAAGGGATTTTTACTGCCTCGCGAACTGCTCTCTGCACTGCTCTCACCCACTAAAAAAAAAAAAAAAAAAACACTACCCAGTGTTGTGGTGTTTTCAGATGGGACCGTGAGAGTCGTGAATGAGTGAAGCGTAATGAGGAAAGGTTCACAGATAAGGGTGCAGTGCAGTACATAGGCGATGATAGATATATTTGGATGAATGAAAAATGGAGCCATACTTTATTTCATAAGAAGGCACAGATGGGTAGCGTAAGATAGGGAGGTAAGATGGAGATGATCAAGACGGGGAAAGCGGTGGGCAGGCATCCCAGAAGGATGCAAACATGGGGAAATGAAATACGATGCAAGCAAGAAGGAGCAAATGCGGAAAAAAAGCGTTGAATCTGACACTGCAGTTGGCGAGTGGCTGTGAAATACACCTCAAAAGTCAAATCATCTTGGCATTCAAACCAGCATTTCATCATCACATGTGACAATCTGCTGCAAGAGGTGAGCTCCACAAGTGTGTTGGACTCTTCCTACGACTTTTTGTGAAATTTATTTTGACAAAGAATCCGGCTGCTCAGTACAACGTATGTGCTAAAATTGATTACATGAGCAAATCAAATTCATTAGGCATATACTAATGCAAAAATCGTTGATGGAAGCGTGACCCTTAATGACTCGCATACAAACGACCAGATAAGCTTGCCGACAATTGGCACATTTTTACTCGTCTGAAAACATTTCACAACCAATGATGTTAATGATCAGTTTCTTAAACCGTACACACGCGTAGGTTAGTAAGTTAGGATAGACGTGTTCTGAGTCATAGACACATTTGTGTTATGTTGCCACAGCATGACAGGAACACTTTATTTGCAGGGCAGTTAAGAATATTAAAACAGGACTTCACCTGTCGTGGTCTATTACTGGTTTGAAGACTTTCAAATATGATACTAAATGTTTAAATGAGTCGTAGTTGTGAAATACAAATCTTGAATCATCCACCTGCAACAAACAAAAATGCAGCTTGCTTCTGTATAATCATCATGGTATCACCTTTTCCTGTAAAATGCATTGAAACATACATCCACACCACCTTGAGCAAGGTGCCTCTCCATGCAAAATGTCAGCACGTCCGCCATTTTGGATGTGGCCATCATATTAGCCATACATTGCCTTCAAAAGTAATGGCTTAGGCCACATCATATGAGTTCTGGCTTTTGAGTACAAAAAGGGTGAAAGATGGTCCAGAACGTGTCCTAGGTGAGGAAAATAGACTTGTTATTGATGGTTTCGCACTGTGTAGGACGCGTGCCTGGGCAGGCATGTAATAGGTGACATCCTCTTGGTGGTGATGGACAATTCTTGAATTTTTCCACCTTCACATGCACAAAATCCGACTGTCAACCGACTTGCGATACTGCAACTATTCCAAAGCATAAAATGGAAATCTGTTCTGTTTGGTGGATTCAGCGTAACATTAATTTTGTAAAAACTAAATCATAATGCCTGTGTGGCAGATTTACAAGCAGTGATCCCTGCCTTTCCAATCCCACCCAGCCATGAATCCTGCTGTGTTGTTATGCGAGTGAAGTGGAGTGGGCCGCAGCCTGAGATGTTGCAATATGCCCCTGGCTCACGTTAAATTAATATAGCTGCACTTTCCCGCTCTGATCCACGTAATCTTTTTTTTTCCCCCTCTCTCCTACCAGCACTGAATTTCATCCAAGAGTCAAACTTAATTTTACCTTGAGGGAAACATAACTTGGGTCAGAAATGTTCTGTATGTGTATGTGTGTTTAGAGCGATAGAAGCATACTTACGACTTTTGTGGTGCGGTTGGTGGTTTCACAGCTGACTTGCTAGCTGATACAGTACATCGCTCTGTAACATAAATATCGGTAGTATCGTCATTCGCTGTTTGTTTGTTCTACTTACTGATGTGTTTGGTGCGGTTGGTGGTTTCACAGCTGACTTGCTAGCTGATACAGTACATCGCTCTGTAACATAAATATCGGTAGTATCGTCATTCGCTGTTTGTTTGTTCTACTTACTGATGTGTTTGACAAGTAGCCAGAAGTAATCTTTTTCGATGCCTATCAATATATATATATATCCTAGTAAAAGTATTAGGCAGAGCAAAAATTGCTCCAGAGATTATCTGATGTTTATCACAACCACAAATGATTTAATTTAAAAAAAAAAATGCTTTGATTTTCAAAGAATAACCTACTGATACAGTACATCGCTCTGTAACATAAATATCGGTAGTATCGTCATTCGCTGTTTGTTTGTTCTACTTACTGATGTGTTTGACAAGTAGCCAGAAGTAATCTTTTTCGATGCCTATCAATATATATATATATCCTAGTAAAAGTATTAGGCAGAGCAAAAATTGCTCCAGAGATTATCTGATGTTTATCACAACCACAAATGATTTAATTTAAAAAAAAAATGCTTTGATTTTCAAAGAATAACCTAAAAATATAAGTGAAAGGGGTTTTTTTTGTTGTGTTTTTTTTCACCAGTTGATTTCCTTTGAGAATTGACTCCCTACTGTTTCTTTTCTTTATAGCGTAATTCCTTTTTCTTCCTGGTTATTGCTTTTGCCAGCTCCTTTTGCTCCCCCGGGTTACAAGAAAACATTTCCTTTGCTGACTGTGGCATCCACATGAGTGAATTCCCTTCTTTCGTGCCTCGGAGACATGTTTTGTTGGGTCTCAAAGACCCAAATCTGCTGTTTTGTGTGTCAATTCTTCGTTCCAAATGAATCCTTGATTTAGAGAGCGGAGGGGCCTGACAGGTGACGGGTAAATCAAATATCAATCTGTTCTCTTCTTTCCGCCCTTAACAATTCTGCTATATCATTGTGCTTTAAGTGTACTGTAGTATTGTCGAGCTGCGCTCCATCATACTGACAGATGTATTCCCTCGTGTCATAGAATGCAGTTCTGACACCACTGCTACCTACAGCAGATATTGTTAAACGAATACTTCCTTGACAGTGTCAATTAAAACAGAGCAAATACTACTTTGTGACAAAGCATTGAGTCTTAATTTGCATTTTATTTCAGCGCTGATGTGATTATTATGTTAAATAGAGCAGCGGTCTTCTCTTAAAGTGTGTGATTGCTTTGCATTTACATTAAAAAAATGAAGCAAATGTTTTTTTTTTTTTTTTTTTTCTGTTCCACCGAAAATAAATATTTCACATCCCTGTAATGGTGACTGCCACAATATGTTAGGAAATTGTAACATAAAATTCGACATAGAATGTACAGATTAACACCGGTGAATGTTGTGATTCCGCAGCCAGCATGTTGGCTTTGATGCTTACTTACTCTGTGTGTTGTAACTTGAGGTCACATGCTGCGACTCCTAGGGTGATGGAAGAGAGATGAAAGCAGAGGCAAATGTGTTTAAGGAATGAGACATCAGAGGTAATCGTTGTACTTACAGTACTTTTGCTATTTCCCCACAAAAAAAAAAGCACTTGTTTTGTTATATTTCCTCTATGCCTGTGTATGATAATTTATCTTCTATAGCTGTTTACTCAGCCCCACAGCAGACTTCAATTTGTGGCCTTGCCATGTCAAGCACACACACACGACGAAGAACATACATTAGCCGCTAATCTGATTTTTCTCTACTAAACCAAGGAATCTATCTTTCATTAGAAAAATCTTCGTGTTCAATCAAACAAAAAAGAAAAAGGATGGAGTCCCCAGAAGGAGCACCCTCCAGGACTCCTTCCAAGGACTCCAAAAATGAAGGATACTCTGAACTGCTGTTCAATATATGTACAAACGGTCAGGACCCGTCACCCCACCAGAAGGCGGGGGGGAGGCTACCCTTTCGTCCACTGGGGTGAACCCCAATGTACAGGCGCTAAGCCGGTGGGCATCAAGTATGGCCACACCTGCTTTGCGTCTCTCATCGTGTGCAATTCCGGAGTAGAAGAGGATTGGTACCAGAGCCCAACCTGTGTGTGGAGATGAGTCTGACTATATCTAACCATAGAAGTGACAATTCCACATCCCTAGAGCCAGTTTCTACAGCTGGGGATCGGACCGTTAAGGTCCCCACTTTTGGCTGGCGCCCAACTCTCCGTGCACCCGACCCCATTTGGCACCTCCCACTGGTGGTGAGCCCATCATCATTTTGTCCTTTTGGGCTGAGCCTTGCCGGGCCCCATTGGTAGAGGCCCGGCCACCAGATGCTCGGTCTGGTCCCTTACTTACGACCTGTTTGCCATGGGTGGCCCTGCCACGGGTACAAAGCCCCAGACAACATCATTATCAGTGGAACACTGCAATACCTCCATCGCGATAAGGTGACGGCTCATGGAGGGGTATTCTTCTTCTTCTTCTTCTTCTTCTTATTATTATTATTATTATTATTTGTCCACACCGTGTTCTTAAAAAAATTACTATGGTTCCGCAACTTCAAAATTAATGATCTTCTAACCAACAATCAATTAATCAACCTTTGGGGATGTCCAAAAAGCAACTGACCAAGATTCGGAAACTATTATTATTCGAAGTAGTAGGAGTAGGAGTAGCAGTAGTGAGCGAAGTAGCGTTTAGTTCTTGAACTTGAGAGGCTATTCACAATGTGTCGGTAAGATGATGAACATGTATGACCTTGGGGATACTTCAGTTGGCATACACTCTGGTTTGCATTCCATTTCCCATAATGTCAGTCTTTACTCACGAAGGTGAAAGAGGAAAAACCTTACTAACCTTGCTTGGAATGGGAAACTTGGTTTGATCAGCTTTTCCAGGAGTGTGAATGGCCGTAAGAGGGGGTGGCCAGGAGTGAGTCATCTCCTAAATATAAATACATTTACACACACACAGGCACAAATACATATTATTAAGGTCATTTAACAATTTCAGATAATCCAATATACTGTTGTGGTCCAAACAAACAAGAGCTATGACTCGGTATAAATTATATGAAAACAATTCTGACAACAGTTTGTAATTCTGATGTGATTTGTTGGTACAAGTGCTTGGATGCAGAAGAGCAGTGGTAGCGTTCAGTTATGGTTTTGTAGACTCATACACATCCGAGTGGACTGTATTACAACTGGCAATATAAAGTGAGAAGTGGATTGGGAGTTGGCAGCACACTCAGGGATCTGAGCATGAACTAACTGCAAAGGGTTCCATGTCCAAAATAAAAGCTGACACCAGCTGTTTGCATTAAGAGCTAAATGCTGGCATTGCCGCAGCGTTCTGATTTAATTACTAATCACACAGTCTCACTCAGTTCAATTCCATGCTCAATATGTGGGAGTTTCAATTAGTTAACAGAATAATTATCTGATGTATGCAAGCATTTGTGTGTTTCTGTGTCCGTGTGTTCGTTTTGCAATGCTATTCAATCTCCAAGGAACAACAGTGCAAAGGAAGTTGAGACTTACAGTATGTTGAAAAAGCTGCTCAGAGAGCAAAGTAAAAGTGGCGCCCTAAAATTTTATTTTCATGCCAGCGCAAGTCTAGTCTAGCCTGTTTGTGGCCGTGTAGCGCCCATTTGGCCCTTTCGGCGCACGGAGTTGTCTCGCCCCAGACAATTTGGTCACACAACTTAGTCCATGGCAGCCCGGTGGTCCAGTGGTTAACGCGTCGACCTCACAGTGCAGAGGTTCCGGGTTCAATTCCAGCTCCGGCCTCCCTGTGTGGAGTTTGCATGTTCTCGCCCAGGCCTGCGTGGGTTTTCTGCGGGTACTCCGGTTTTCTCCCACATTCCAAAAACATGCATGGCAGGTTGATTGAACTCTCTACATTGTCCATAGGTGTGAGTGTGAGCGCTCGTCTCTGTGTGCCCTGCGATTGGCTGGCAACTTGCCTACTGCCCGAAGCCAGCTGGGATAGGCTCCCTCTCTCTCTCTCTCTCTCTCTCTCTCTCTCTCTCTCTCTCTCTCTCTCTCTCTCTGTATATACTATATATCCATCCATCCATCCATTTACCGTCGCTCATCCGGGGTCGGGTCGAGGGGGCAGCAGCTTTAGTAGGGAAACCCAGACTTCCCTCTCTCCAGCCACTTCTTCTCGCTCTTCCCGGTGGAACCCGAGGCGTTCCCAGGCCAGCTGGGTGACATAGTCTCTCCAGCGTGTCCTGGGTCGACTCCGAGGTCTCCTGCCAGTGGGACATGCTTGGAACACCTCACCAGGGAGGCGCCCAGGAGGAATCCTAATCAGATGCCCGAGCCACCTCATCTGGCTCCTCTCGATGTGGAGGAGAAGCGGCTCTACTCCGAGCCCCTCCCGGATGACCGAGCTTCTCACCTTATCTCTAAGGGAGAGCCCGGATACCCTGCGGAGAAAACTCATTTCGGCCGCTTGTATCCGGGATCTCGTTCTTTCGGTCACGACCCATAGCTCGTGACCATAGATGAGGGTTGGGACGTCGATCGACCGGTAAATTGAGAGCTTCGCCCTTTGGCGCAGCTCCTTCTTTACCACGACAGACCGATACAAGGTCCGCATCACGGCAGACGCTGCACCGATCCGCCTGTCGATCTCTCGCTCCCTCCTGCCCTCACTCGTGAACAAGACCCCAAGATACTTAAACTCCTCCACTTGGGGCAAAATCTCCTCCCTGACCCGGAGGGGGCACTCCACCCTTTTCCGACTGAGGACCGTTGTTTCAGATTTGGAGGTGCTGATCCTCATCCCAACCGCTTCACACCCGGCTGCGAAACGCTCCAGTGAGAGTTGGAGAGCCCTGATTGAAGGAGCCAACAGTACCACATCATCTGCAAAAAGCAGAGAAGTAATACTGTGGCCACCACAACGGACCCCCTCAACGCTTCAGCTGCGCCGAGAAATTCTGTGCATAAAGGTTATGAACAGAATCAGCGACAAAGGGCAGCCTTGGTGGAGTCCAACCCTCACTGGAAACGATTCCGACTTACTGCCGGCAATGCAAACCAAACTCTGACATCGGTGGTATAGGGACCGAACAGCTCGTATCAGGGGGTTCGGTACCCCATACCCCCAAAGCACCCCCCACAGAACTCCTCGAGGCACACGGTCAAACGCCTTATATATAGACAGTCCTTGCAGTTTATTTTTCAGCTAGATGGTTCCTCAGGCAACAAGTAACTTTTGTATTCAAATGCAGTTACAGTACCTTGTATTTTAATTTAAACACATATACGCACATCTGCCACACCCAGGTCAGCGTGAGAACGATCTATAAAGGATCACTGACATCAGAGCGTTATATCATCAAGCGTCTCCTCACGATGGTGGATGACTCATCAGATGAGTCATGCTTATATCGGAGTAAGTATGTGTGTGAGCTGTAATGTTTTATCTATTTAATTAGGGACTCCGTAATGTACATCGTGTGAGTGTAGTGCACACATGTATGTCTGCGAGTCTTATACCCGCAATCTGATGTAGATTGTGTTGCCAGGCGACTCTCTGACATGTGTGCATTATAAGAATTACTTTGTTTTGACAGATAGCACTCCTGATTGTTTATGCATGTATGTGTCTTTTAATTATGAGTATTTGCTTCTATAAATGTTAATGTGAGTGATTACCTTGGCGAATCACAAATCTTCCCGCTCTCTTTCTCTCTCCCTCATGCACACACCGACCTGTATATCAAACTGATTTGGTCTTATTGTCATCTTGCCTCATGAACAATTCGGCTGCATTCATTCCACAATCCAAAAGCCTTCAGAGTTTTTGCTAGATATTTTGTCAGGATCTCTTGCCGCTCGCACCTCTCTTGTCTGTTATTCCATTTGGTCAAAGGTAAAGTCAGCAAAGGAATGCTGAGTTTATCGGAAGGTTCAGATTCTGACCATTTTAAAAAAAGGAGGCAGCTGACCAGCATAAAGCATGAGTCTTCTCAGTGGTGTGGCTCAGCTGGTAAAGCAGGCGGTTACCACAATTCGACTTGTCAATGAGCGCTTACAGTTTACAAATCCCACCATGGAGCCAACTTCACATCCTGCTGCTGTTAAATGCCATGTAGGCCAGCTCAGGGCATTGAAACACGGCTCCCCCACCTTGGCCCAATCCATTGTAATGAAGACTAACAACTGCACGTCAAACTTTTAACAAGAGTCAATAGCAGAAAGATTTGTGCGCCCCAGACTGGAACATAAGTCACACACTGTCATCAGATAACGGAGATGAACGAAACTTGACTTATTACTAACAATATATCTAACCTGTTTAAAACACAGGATTTATATATATACCGGCCTATATATATATATATATATATATATATATATAGAAGTATACAACTTATCTAGTCCTACCCCTTGTTGTGTAATAATATAAATAGATCATTTTTCAATGCAAAAGAAAAGGAAGAGATCTACATCTCATCAAGTACTTATGTGTACTGTACTTATCTATTTATACACCTTTCTGTTTATATATATATATATATATATATATAAATTTCTTTTTAATTTAAAAAAGTGCTATATACTTAAGGTGACTCAGCTGAGTAGTGGGGTGGTGCTCTACAGCCCTCTATTGACCAGTCTCCGCAAGTTTACAGGTACAGTGGTGCTTTGAGATTCAAGACGTCTTTCGACTCACGACCATCGACACGTCTGATAGACATGCCGAGACTTAGCAAGACGACTTTCTTGATGGCTGGGTCAATACAAGTTGAAATTGCTCTGTGACCACACTCAAAGACCAAACTCAAAGCATGCGTATCTCAAATCATCTGCCCCCTTTGAAATAAATAGAAATGCCATTAATCTGTTCCCCTCCCAAAACAACCGAATACTTTGTCAAGTCATTTTTAAAGACGAAATCCCACTTCATAACGTTGTACTCTACGAAACACATACCACAATGACCTACGGCAAGTAAATAGAACATTTAAAAAAATGAAGCAATTTTTGTCACACTTTTTGCTTCATTTAAAAGGACATTGTGCTACTTCTTCTGGTGTGACCTTGAAGGAACAATATAATGCAAATATGCAGATATACATGGAGTCAGTCTCACATGTTCTGCATATGCCATAACGAGACTCAGCTTTTCAATAAAGCAGTAACATAAATAAACCCTGTGAATTGATTGACTTTTAAGTTAAAAATGAGGTACAAAATAGAAGAGCGCCAACACCGTACCACATACAGTAGATGCTATTTATTAGCCTGTCAACAGCATTTCCCCATGATTTGTTAGCATTGGCATTAAGCAATTGAACTAGTGGACATACAGGCTAAGGTTGAATTTGATGGTGAACCTCAGTTGGGAGTGGTAATAAATAGTTTCAAGTCTCTCCTTTGAAGAATTCCTCACTAATTATATCTGCTAAACTGCTGCTTGTTGTGAAATGAGTCGAGTTCAATGCCACTATACCGTGCTCGTATCTCGCAAGCCAAAACAACAAACTAGAAAACTGGGGTAGGGAGAGGATTAAATAAATTGTAGTTCTTCCCATTTTAGACATGATGAAAAGGACATACTGTAGGTTTAGGTGGTGTTCTAATAGGTGTGTGTGCGTGTGTGTGTGTGTGTGTACCTATGGCTTTTAAGATGCCTGGAAAGAAAGAAAGAAAGAAAGAAAGAAAGAAAGAAAGAAAGAAAGAAAAAAGAAAGAAAGAAAGGAAGAAAGAAAAAAAGAAAGAAAGAAAGAAAGAAAGGAACCAGTCAAAGATATGCCCCGCCTTGCACCCAAAGTTATATAGGTGGGCTGCAACTCACCGCAACCCTAATTAGCACAAGCACTTCGAAAATGAATTGATGGCTAAAGTTAACACCAAAGTCAACCATGTCTGTGTACCATCTGACCTATTGCTGTGTTGTGAAAGAAAAGTGAAACCATGTGCAGGCAACTGCTCCAACGCACCACCCTTCACATTCAGAACTTGCTGATCTTTCCGCTATACACGGCTCAAAACTCCAGATTGAATTTATTGAATTCAATCTGGAGTTTTCGGCGCACCAATTTTATTGACATAAGGCTTCTCATGCAGCTCACAGCTCGCGATCTGTCACACAGGCCGTTGACCAGCTTATTGATTTGTGAGGGGGAGAGGTGAACGACGGAGGGCAGAGAGCAATGAACAGGCACACAAAGAGAGCATCGAGAGACGGAGGATGGAGACAATCCCAGTGATGGGTGACAGAGGAAAGTGAGCGATAAGTTGATATCACATTATATGATATGCTCTCTTGACGGCTTGCAACTGTCGAGCTTTCTGAAGAGATGACTCTACTCTCACCTCACTTTGGGAAAAGGCAACCCAAAAAAGGCAAAAATAAAGAAGGATGTTGAGTGTTTGCGCAGTTATCCAATGGAATTCTTAGGAGGAAATCAAGGTCTTGAGATATTTTTGCATGACATAATTGGACAATTGTGAAAAAAGCTCATTTACCCTTTAACAGAAGCCAACCTCCCATTACATTTATTTCTTATATTTATCTTTCTCTGCACCAAGTCTTTTCTGGCTACAATCTGTCTCGCTCAAGAGAGAAAAATTTTGCAGGCAAACTCAAAACAGCTGATGATCACTGCAATTATGGTGTGTGTATGTGGGTGCGCTTGTGCGTGGGCTTGTCTATGTGTATGCGTGTGCGTGTGCGCGCGGGTGTTTTTGCATGTGTGTGTGGTGTACAACATACCCGCAAAATCTCTTCCACACAGCTGGAGTCATTTGGAAGGCTGACCTGCAGAAAACAAATGGAAGACAAAGAAAGTGTCACTATTAATAGAAAACATCAGTGACAAGCTTTAACATGGCTTGAATTACATGCAACAAAAGGAAAGTCTGCTGAGGATTGCAACTTCAAATATGCACTCATCCATATTTTCGATACCACTTCACCCGATACAAGGTCTAGGAAGGGGCCAGGTCAGCTATGTGAACCACTACACGATTAAGGCTCAATTTGACGGTGCTCAAATGTTTATGGTATTTAGGATTAACTCACTCATTCATAATCACTTCAAATGGGTGATTTCAATTCCCTCAAATCTTCACTGTTTTCATGCTGTCATTTTCATAAATGCTTCTGGCAGTGTTGCAGTTCAGTGGCGGCACGGCTTCAGTTACCACACAAATTAAACTCAAATGTTACTTATTTTTCCACGACCCCTGTGAGGATAAGCGGATTAGAAAATGGATGAATGGATGTTGTTTATATTGAATGTACGAGATGAAATAAAATAAAATAATACATCGCATTAAGAGCCAAACTTCCAACCAGATCCAAATAAAACTGTGGCCTGTGTTTTGTGGAAAAAAAAAGTTTACATGTCAGACAGAACTATGGCTTGATAGTATAAAACCTAAGTTTTTAATCTTTCCACATGGCTTCCTGCAGATTTTTAGATGAGATCTCATTTGGCCCTTTGGTCTAAGCAAAGAGAAAGAAGTCCGAACAATTTGGGAGGTTTATATTTTTTTATGTTTTTGCATTCTTGTCACACCACAACAATGTGAATATCGGGCACGGTCCGCAAAGTGACGAGCAGAACTATCTATGTATGAAGGTGCCGCAACTAACCAAATGCTCGAGTTTTAGTTACGGTCAAAACAAACCGAGAAAACAATGCAACGTCTCCTATAAAAATGAAAGCATACGCCAAACAAATGGTTTTCTCTGGAGCAGCTGCTCTTTGCTGTGCCAGTTCAGCCAAAGTGCATGTTGTACTTCTTCCATTATTCGAAACAAATCATTATTGTCTCTGCTGGATACGCACACTGCATTGTTAGCTAAATGTACCCCACACAAGTATAAATGCCACTGCCAAATGAGTGTTTCCAAAAAGCATTTGAAAACAAAATAAAACAGTGTGATGGACTAGTTCCTGGCTTGGTTCTCCCTGACAGGCTCAATAAAAAAGGAGTGAGGGATAAAGGAGCAGCTGGAGGAGAGGAGAGCAAATCCCTCCATAACCATAACCTCTGCCGCACAACATCGCTAACTGCACCAACACGAGTTTCAGGAAACATTTAGTGGCCGCAATAATGACGATGACATCACCCTCAGCCTGAATTACCGCAAGTGAAACTAAAAGGGACACTGGCATATGCTATGTAACAAAAAAAGGACTTAACCATTAAAAGTGAAAAAGGACATTGCCAATCTTTTTTTTTTTTTATCATAACATACAACCATTCAGAGCAAGCTAAACAGAAGCGATATAGAGATCTGGCAAGGACTATGTCACTCTTCTCTGTAGATCTGAAAATAAATGAGAGTAAATAAAGATTGTATTATGGGTTAATGAACCATTTACAAGTCATTCATAACAGCAGCAATATACTAACATATATGCACAATTCGGAGTTTAAAATAGATTATCAATGTGAAATTGGCTCAATCAAGAAGAATCATGGAATCACTGTGGGTACTTGCACATTTACTGTGACACGTTTCTATTAATAACATTCTCCGTTTGGCTTATGGCTTCCCCATCAATTCCATAGTATTAATAAAAACCTCATGTTCTCGCGACAGATGCAATAGTGGTCATCGTGGGTGTTAGTGACGATGAGCTATTGCCTTTTGGTATGGCGTCAGGATTCGGTTCACATTTGCTTCAGTTAGACTCGAGTCACCAGCTTTGGGACTTGGGACTTGCTGAGCTAAAACTCATGAAAGACCCAATTTCACTTTGACTTGGCACCAATGAGACTCAAAACACATGAATTTACAACTCTTGCCTGTTTACAGTAAAAAAAAGTATGCATTCCCAACATGTTTTGTTTTTGAAATAAGTATCTTTGAGTCATGCATATGTAAATCCGGCAACCCACCAGCATGCTGCAAAGTATGAAGCAAGTAGCACTGTGTGAGCGAAGAAGATATTACGTTTGATGAGTTCAAGCGCAAAAGCCAACCAGTGCAATTTAAACAAAAATAAAGCCACACCTACTACCCCACTGACTATCTTGGCTATCAATGTTGCATTTCCGAAACCTGCAAAAGCAAATACCTGAAAGCAGGTCTAAGTTGTGGTGTCAGTGGCGTAACACAATTTTGGTGGATTTGATCAAGGTGCAGGCAGACATATACCACAAGTGAAAATGCTTATGTTTTCCTTATCTGTCACAGGACTATGTTAGTACGGCTACAAACGGTTGGTCTTTATTTTCACTTGGCTCACATGCACCTTCAGAGAGGATGGCATGCTGAATGTAATGTAAAAAAAAAAAAAAGGCCACATCATTCACACAACAGCCACAACAGCCTCCAGGCTCTGTGAATAGCAACGAGCTGCAATACATTTGAAGGGGGTTATGTCACACTAGCAAGGTGTGTTGTTATGAGTGTGTTTGTAATGTTGAGCCATGAGAAATGGTTGCAGTAGAATGCAGAAAAAAAAGTTGAAGTCTCTGCTGGAGGAGAAGTGGTGAAACTAAGGAAGACAAGAACAAAAATAAAAACAGAAGGAATTGTATTGGGTGGAAAATATTACCAAGGCAATTACTGAGACAGAAATCCTTTTCTGTCTGAAATAGCTGCTCAGATGATACACACACACACACACACACACACACACACACACACACACACACACACACACACACACACACACACACACACACACACACACACACACACA